GGGCAGGCTGATTTATCAATTAAATCATATTGAAGATGACTTGGATTTATCTCGCGCTTTTCGAGAGACCCAAATCATTTCATAATTATATATTTTTTCAAGGGATGCGTGGATGCAAAAAAAAAAAAAAAAAGCAAAATAAAATCAACATTGAATATAATTTGGCCTTGAATGTTTTTGTCTTTTTTTGGTTTGGATTGTACTTTTTAATATATTTTTAAAAAATCATAAATGTATGATTGAACTCTAAAATATACATATTATAAATTTTATCTCATGACTCTTAACGATATCAATGAATATGTTTGTCTTATAGGAATTGATTGAATAAATCTAAACATTGCGCATCTTTAAATAGCCCTAGTGATACATTTGAAAAGAGTTCTCAACGCCATGGGCAGCACCTCTTTATTTTATTTTTTTAACTTCCTGTCAACTTTCCATCTTCCACTGTCCCGCTAATTCCCCGGATGATAATCTCTTGAGCCTCACTCGGGTTCATAAAGTGACCTCTTTGCCGCGTGCAAACTGCAGATAATCCTCTTGTTACCCCTGCGCATGCGTTTCACGAGCCAAGTATGAATTTTTAAAAGTTTTCACAAAAAAAAAACCACAGAAACCATTTTGGCATCAATATTACATCGGGGAATTGAGGTCAACTGTCATGACCTTTAGACCCTTTAAAGATCCTGTAAAGTGAAATATTACAAAGTCGTGTCAAAATACATTCTGTGTGTTTGAAGAAGTTGAAAACAAGGACAAAACTATGCAGTACTCACTTGTGGAGAGAAAGCATTAAATTGTTTTTCACCATTTCAGTTTTCCAGAGTGTTTGGGGGCGTGACTAAAACAGCACCCAGTGGCGCACTTGGGTGTCAAGCAAGAGTCACTCCTCACCCACTATGTAACAACTCTGTGCTTTTCTTTGCATCAGTGACGATCCTGCACAATAGTGAATCACTTAGTTTTAATTACCTGGTCGATTACATTTTGCGGTTAGCTAGCTAGCTATGTCGACAGCAACCTAAAAACGCATCTTCTCTGCATGCCACAATTTACAGAACAGTTCAGTTTGTGTTATTCCGTTGACCTCAATATTGAAACATAAACCGTTGTGGGTAATTAACTTGCAGGGAGCATGTGCTCAAATATCTGTCACAGAGTGTGAGCCGCAGACTGAATAAATGGTTAACTTCCCTTGAAGTCTCTCTTCTGTTATGTGGACTCACATACTGACACAGCACTAAGCAAGGCGGTGATGCATTAGACGAGTCTGTCACAGGTCTTTTCAGCCTGCGAGCTAGCTGGTGGCTAGCACCTCTCGTCGCGGCATGAAAAAAGCAGCGCGACCATTCAATTAGAATGCTATCCTTTGTCTTTGTTACTTTACTGTCTGCCTCTCACGCCGTCACCGCAGCATACGAAGGGCGTTTGGCCACTTAGAGTTGAACGATTTGCCGAGCGCTAGGTAGCTGGTACGACACAATACAGATGGATTTACTTGACCAAAGCAAGAAATTCTACCGTTGGCCGGCGTATGTCGAGGGATTCGGGAAGTTGAAGTAAGCTATTTTGAACTAAAAAGTAAAACCCTTCAATGGGATGATACTTCTACGTCAACACATCATGTTGACGTAGAAGCTGGTTTACTTTACAGACACGGCTCTTTAATTTTTTTGAAATCTGCGAAAAACCCGTGAAAAGGTAAACTCGCAATGGTAGAGGTTAAGGTCAAAAATGAAAACTCTGCGATAGATTGAAGCCACAATAACCGAAGTGCGAAGTATAGAGGAAAAGCGGTATTTGGTCATTTTTATTTTGATGTTTTTAACTCATTCATTCATCAAATTTGACAGGCAACATTACACTTCGCTGTGGTTTGTCAAAATGATCAACCTTATCCGCAGGTAAGAAAAATAATAGTTACAATTAATTTTAAAGGTGGATTTACAAAAAAAAAGTGGATCATGGCCTCTCCTTGCTGCTCTTTGGCATCACAATGGCTCTTAATGGCTTTGAGCTAAATACGAGCAGGACTATGAGGGATTAAAGAGGGCGGAACATGCCAGAACGACATCAAAACCATCGTCGGACTTTGCTCACAGCTGCACGGCTTAATCTCACGGCAAGCCTTTGAAATAGGTTGCCTTGATTGTTGTACGAGGTAGAGGGGCGGGGGAGCGGCAGGGTTTTATGTTCCATGAGTGACACTCAATCACCACGTCACATCTTTAACAAGCCTCCCACTCCAGAGTCCATTAAAAAGTATTTAACTCCCCCATTCGAGCTGAAGTGGACTCCCTGTCTCCGTTTTCCACAAGCTGGCTTTTTCCTCTTTTGTGCCTCAGCAAACAGGAGGCAAGCTTTTTGGGCTGAAACAAAAGAGGAAGAACCGCAGGGGATGGAGACGTGTAGGGGGGGGGTCACTTTGTGGGGTTTGACAGCAGGGGTGGCTTTCTGCCTCGATGGTCATATATGTGAGCCAATCCGTGACTATGAAACCAAGGGACATAACTCATCTGGATTTTTGGTGTACCGTGACACCCCCTAATAATATTGAGTCCCTGGCCTTCTCAGTGGTCAAGCAGCACAGCAAGAAACATACGTGCTAATGATAGTTTATTTCCTCTTTTGCCGTGCCATAGCTCCACACTAGAGGTGCTACGATTTCTCAATTAATCGACAATCAATGAACAAATTAACCGATAATTATTTTTGACAGTTGATAAATCGTTTACATAAGTGTTTTAGTTTAAAATTGTCCAAATGCTCGGACTTCTTCCCACTAAAGGTTTCTGTATTTTTTTATTTTTTTAATTTGGGAAAACATTTTTTTACTACTTTCAGCCGTCTTACGTACCAAACCAGTAACTGGATCAGAATTAATGTTTGTGCATTTTCTATCACTTTCAAATAATATCCTTTTATCAAATAAAGAGATGGAAATTAAATCATGTTTTTTTTTTATTGGATTCGTTGATTAGTAGACAAAATAGTCAACACATTAATCAATTACACTGGTGAACAATTTTTTTTTGGTTTTTAAATTAGAGATGTAAGGAAACCATTATCTAAATGTTTTTTTTTGCATGGATTCCGAATCCGCCCTGATTTATTTCTCTAGCACATCAGGTTTTCATAATAATAATAATAATAATAATAATAGTAATAATAATAATAATAATAGTGATAATAATAAAAAATAACACTAACCGGGATTCATTCAGATTTGGTTCAGCAACAGGTGGATTTTTTTCCCCCCGAAACGTCAGAAATGACAACGCATGGTAAAAATCCGTATTGCGCAAGATTTTATAGGCCGTGGTTACAAAAAATGAAAATATCTCTAAAACAAGCTGGGGGGAAAAAAACTATGTCAGAAAGACATTTTGGGAGACACAAAGCCATCTCTGATTAAAATTAGCTGCTGACCAATTTTATTAAAATAATTGTTAGTTGCAGCCGGACGCCACAGTGTGATACTCTGCGGCCTCCATTTTGCAGCAACGACATATTTTTTTTTTGTTCTCCATTGCTCGGCATGTCTTGCTGAGATCGAGGTGCAACCAATCCCAAACGGAAGAACGTAAACCTTAGCTATTGTCGAAAAGGCAGTTTTTAGTCGAAAACAAATATAACCGATGTCACTCTTATTTTTCTTTTTTTTTTCACTTATGTGACAACCATTTTGTATGCTTGGACAAAAGCAGACAAGGGGTCAATTTCAGGGCTGGCGGTGATAATCAATCAGGTTTATTTCCAGCCTCTAACTGACAATGCAAACATGAGGTTGGTTGCCTGATTTGTGGTCAACTCCCTGCATCAGGTCGCATCGAGCATTTTAGCCAGCATGTTGCTAATCTGCTTAGCTGAGCTTTACCGAGATGGCAGTTTCTCCGGTTTTGAGACACACTTCAACACACACGCATTGTTCTCCAGCCCGTCTGTTTTCATTTCCTCCCTCTCACCTTTCACTTACGCTCGCTTATCCCCCATCTGGCTTCTCTCTTCCCAACATGCACATGATATCTACGCCTTTGTGAGATGCCGGGATGCGGCGTAAAGAACGATTTGTCGATCTAGCCACAGTTGATGCGGAAAAGATTTCGGAAAAAGTTCCACTTTTCAGGCATTTTCAAGTTCAAAAACACGATTTGTTGGGTAACAAAACAAGCAAAGTGACACACTAATGATGACTTTTCAATTAAAAAGAGTATTCCCGAAAAAAAGCATGCATCGAAAATTCTGGGAAATTGTAAAAATGCCTCATACAAACATCTCATGTTTAACTCACACTGACAGTCTGAAAATGTCATGAATACAAAACCCCATCAATGCCAGATGTAGCAAAGCAGCCCCAGAACATAACCTTAGATGGAGCTTTATGACACCGGGCAGAACATTTTTTTCCCACAGGGTGCTGTGATAGTTTTTGAGATTTCATTGTGTGTCAGATGCAGAAAAGCAAAAAGATTTGCCTGCACAGAGATACACCGTGCCAGATGCAGCAAAGCAGCCCCGGAAACATAACCAAGCTTCCTCCATAGAGAGCGGGCACAGGGTTTTTTTTTCCTCTCTTTGTGTGATGTGACTTGCCGAACAGTCCCACTTTTGTCTCCCCCCCCCCCCCCCCCCTTTTTTTTTTTTTTTTTTTTTTTAGCGGCTTTGGAAACACAGCTATCATGTTCTTCTTTGGTCGTGTTTTCGAAGGCTGTTTTTGACGAAGGCTGCGTGGTTTGACTTCCATTAAAGTAAAGTGGAGATGATAAAACAAATGGAGTTACCTCCGCAAACAGTGACCTTCCTCTTCCGCATTCTTCTTCTGCGGACTTGTAGTTGCGTGCTGTTCTCACTTACAACTGGGTGGAGATTTTAGCTTCTCAACATTATGATCCTGCGCATAATCTCCCTCAAACACACACACACACAGACACACGCACACATATGCGCGCACACACATGCACACAGTGGACGATTGTATTCCCTTTCGGGACAAATGCTCCCATATAAATAGTTTATTAGTAATGGTTACATATCTGGAGGATGTTTCCCCTGTCTTCTTTGTGACGTTAAACATAGGTTATACAAATGAAGAACGCACACGATGTGCGAGATAAATGTCAAAATATATATTAAAAAAAAAAAAAACAATGAAACTTAATCATATCCTCTGGAGAGGATTCATCCCAGTTTATAATCCGAAAGGATGAGCGGGTTACCATATGCAAGAAGTCCCACCTCATTTCTGATCCCATTTCTCCATCGAGGAAACGACAGTGTGCTAGTAGGTTGCCCGTCTTTGTGGGTCAAATATCCATCAAAGGTCCGAAAAAGGTGGCAGCATGACTTCCTCTATGTAAAGTTCCGCAAGCATGACGCTAGAAGGCTCAAAAAGAGTGCAGTATATCCTTGTCTTGTTCTTGTTCTTGTCCCAATTGCTGCGCTAACTCCATCGTACAATCAGTGTGTTCACCTGATGCCTGATGGGAGAAAAGACGATCAAACCGAGGACATGTTCGTTTAAGATTTTACAGTGTAAACGATGAGCCAAAACCACATAGTCCGAGTCCGTCTGTTTTCCGTGACAAATCTGTGGTGTCTCTCGAAGGTTCCATCTGTCCGTCCATTTTCTCAGTTAGACAGAGTTAGACTACAACTGGGAGTGGAGTTCAACAGTTTGAAGGAAATATATAAAATAAATAAGGAAACATTTTAATTAATCAATGTTAAGGGATGGGAAAAAAAAGTGTCAATTAATGCAATGAATATTAAAGCACTCTTGATGGTCTAAGTGCTTGATGGGCCGGGTTAAAAAAGTGCGGGCCGTTTGGGGCCCACGGGCCATACTTTACCCACACATAATAATCATATTCATAATAAAAATGTAAATCCATTGATTGTTGTGAGTCAGCAGGGTGAAAGGTCAGCTCCAGGCCACTTTCCTGTGTGGTACTAAAACCAATTTGTTCCCGGCAGCGGGAAGTGGGTCTTCTGGTAGGTGTCCGTGCATGTCATTGTGCGTGTTCGTCTAAGTGCGAAATGTAGTTGCATTGAGGAAACGCACACAGAGAAAGGAAAAGAACCATAAATACCTTCTGGCTGTACTCACTCACCGTTGTCTGTGCTCGAGTTTGGACCCAGTTGTCGCCTGTGGGCGCACGTGCACTCCAGGTGGTCCTCCAGTTGCACCTGCACCTCCCTCAGTTTGGGTCGCCGCCGCACATACTCCACCTTGGCCACCTGGATTGAAGAAAATGGAGGATGATATGCAGAGATGCAAAGGAATCACGATAAAAATAGTTTGTAAATTTTGGTGAAGAACTGGTTGCTCAACGCAGAGGCAGATCTAGTTCTAGATACAGGGCAGAGCACTAGTGTAGTTCATCCGTTTACCCTGACGGTGCGGTGATGCTTGCGGGCCGCCTGGCACCGCATGTTGCTGGTGTTGCAGCAGCCCGTGCAGCGCTTCACTTCCACGCATGGCGGCCAGATGATGAAGTTGGCGGCGGTGGGGTCCACCTGACTGCGAGGGATCTCGTAGATGGAGGTGCGCACCTTGCAGCCCGCAGGCAAGGCCTCCTCCACCACTGCAGGGGGCGACCAAGAGACACTTTTATTGACTTTGATTGTACTTGTATCACACAGTATGCGCGTCTCGCCAACGCTGTACTCATATTTGTTTCTTTGAGTGGGTTATTCTGTTTGAAAAGTGCTGTACAAATTAAGTTTGATTGATTGAGTGATTGATTGACATGGTTCCACCTGTATCGTGCGCACGTCTACATATGAATGTCTCAGGATTGTCTCGAACGCACATTGCGTCACGTGTCGCGTGTTTGCACATCAAGTTCGTGCGTGTGTTTTAAGTGCGCACTCACGAGTGCTCCGCCTGTAACGCTCATGGGTTTGCTCTTGCTTGAGTTCCGGGAAGGCGTGAGAGAAGACCTTGTCATAGTCGTGTTTGGTCTCCTCGATCGCCTCGTTTTCTGGACCTAAGACAAAACAACACCTCAGGATGTCGCACGTTGTACTTTTTAAGCTTCCCCCTAACCTTGTGTCATCTGACATACACAAGCCGAATTCTCAATAGGCATCTTGCGTTGTAGCGTGAAAATGCACATTATTATGAGAACATTTCACACATGCATGTGCCGATCTGATGATTCTCACAGTTTCACAGTGTCCTGAAAATGGAGCTCGGGAAGCACTGAGATATTTCCGCACAAACTCATTACACAGATGTCATTACACATAGGCAAGCATCAATCCGTCTTGATGAGATTACGATAACTCATTTACGGGGGCGCCCACGTGTCCACTGTTTGCTTGCTGGCATGAAAACACATTACATGTTGTGATTGATCCAAGTTGACTTTGCGTGTTATTTGCCGCTGTTATTTGCTTATGATGGACTTCTGTCTCATGCATTTGCTAGCTAACGGTCAATCAGAGCCGACACCGTTTTGCATACTGCGGTTCATGGCCCATTCATTCAAATCATATCTAAAAAGCACAATGACACACACACACACGCAAAAAAAAAAAAAATCTTTTAATTCTTCACAATTCTAAATGCTGCTTTTTACTTTTGTTTGTTCCTGCTTGTATTATGAATGACTTGAGCAAGGTTGTGGATGTGATACATTTAATGAAATGAACCCATGACTGTGGATGGTATGATAAACAATGACTACTCAGCCATGTTGTGTGCTTGCTGTGGTGTGAAAATGGCTCAAATGGTCTATTCAAAAGACAGTTTGTAAATAAATTTAAAAAAATGTATTCAGACATGATTTCTGACCACCTATGGTTGTCTCATATCTCCGTAGCTGACTGATTTTGCTTGCTGTCTATGTTGTAACTGGATTAATGGGTCGATCCCCCTCAACTGTGGACTGGTCTCGGGGCATTTTAAAGTGCTCTATGAATAACGTTGAGTTGAATTAAAATGGAGGAATATAATTCAATAGCACCGCATCGGCACAAAAAGTAGGTTCCTCATTCTGTGGATTGCACAGGTGTACCTAACGAAGAGTCTCTTGCATGGAGGAGCGCCTCACAAAAAAAATAAATAAATAAAAATTCTTGGCTGATCTCAACCTCAACCCTGACGTGCAGGAATTCCGGCATGAATTATACATGGCAACATAGTGGCCTTGCAGCGCAGACCAAATAATGGGCAGCGTGACAACAGCATAATGAAGTGAGGCACTTGACCCCCCCCCCCTCAGGCGGGGGGCGGGGGGGGCGGGGTGCAGAGGCATCACACTACCATTTGCATGTCAATGATGCCAGGATTAATGGTGGCACCACACGTGAAAAATGAATCAGCAGAGTTGCCATTTATGCTCTGGAAAAGCTTCTTTTGTGTGGAAGTTATCTCCTCACACACACACACACACACACACACACACACACACACACACACACACACACACACACACACACACACACACACACACACACACACACTTGTCTAAGCAACGGAACAAAACAATGTGTCGCCTTCTAACATGGCGGTGTGTGACATTACAGGAAAACTATCTATAGACGTGAATCCAAACCACGTTAGTGTACCAAGAAAGATCCCCGGATGTAGTGTTTCCCCTGATTGGTCCAAAAATTATTTACGAAAAATAATAATTCTTTGTTCATCTATATATGACAATGGCGTATCATGTCAAACAGAACAATTACATGCTTTTCCCCATTTTTTGTAGAAAGGGCTTATGGGAGGCTTATCCCAGTTTCTTCCAAAAATTTGGCGTTTTTACTTTTTTTTTTTTTTCCATCAATTACATCTGGTTTATCACCATTCCCTGTTCCCCACGAATGGCTGGGGTCCCACTGCACTTGGTGTTAAAAAAAAAAAAAAAAAAGTTCTAAAACCACTGCTCTATACCAAGGTTGATTCACACTACCGTGCAATTGAAAAACAATAGCCTTTGAATGTTTTTTTAATAAAAAGAACCACATGTATCCCACAAATGCTTAATTGTCACGCTGTGTGGTCTCATTCAAGCGCTGAATCATAAATGTATTCTGAGGTATGTCCAAAGACTTTTGTCCATATAGTGCCAGGCTATGTAACTACAAACTCAAGTATTTGTTTCAGAACCACTTGGGTACATGTGGACGTGAGTGTTAGCCTTAGCCTTAGCCTTAGCCTTAGCGGCAGGGTGAGATCACCATGACATCTACAGCAAACGTCTTAGCCTCAAGTCCCACAAGCGAAATCCTCTCAAGCCTTCCAAGTTCCGCGTGGAATTGCTGAAGTGCCGCTTTCCTTTCCAAATCGTTCATCTAGGTTTTGGCAAGTGGCTCACACGTTTTCAGGGTTCACCCAGAGTGTAAAGAGCAAGTCGGGGCAAGTCGGTGTCTTGGCAACGTTGTAGTAATGAGATGAGAGGACAGCATCCTTTCCCTGAGACAACTGCACAAATACATCCAATTTGTTCTTTCATGCCACTGCCTGACTGATTGGGAAGGAGGGGCGGCCTTAAGGCGTTCAGCTTGAGAGCCCCATGCCGCACACATGTAGTGGGAATTTAATGGTTGTCATGCTATAATTTTTGGATTTTGAAGTTTTTTTTTTCTGCATGATTTTTGTTTAATTTAAATTATACTACTTTGTACAATTTCTCCAATTCTATTTTTTAAATTCATGCTATAATTTGTAAAAAAAAAAAAGTATACTATTTTTATAACTTGTACTTTGCTATACTTTGTACTAGAATATTGATTTTGGGTGTATACTGAAATTTTTATCTGTGTCTATTTTACAGTTGTTCATGCACAATTTTTGTCTTAGTTTTGTTGTTTGTCTTTAATGCCACTTATTATTTTATATTTTTATTGTTATGTTTTATTTTATTAAGACAATTATGATCAGATTTGTATATTTTTATTAATAATACAATTTGCCAAAAAATATTCTAACATATTTTTAGTTTGGTATTTATGGAACGGATGTAAATTACATGTTATTTATATTACCATCCCTACTGTGAGTTTATTAATTTTTAGCATTAATTTCTCAATACTTTATGAATGGTGTCATTTATACTCTGATTTGTACATTTTTATTGAAGGTCATTTATACGACGGTATGTACAGTTTACAATATAGTATTTCATTATTTTATCAGTTGCGATAGGCTTTCTTTACATTTTATATATTTTCTTTTTAAATACAAATCTTATCATTATTAATAAAGAACAGCGGAGACGAAAACAGGAGGCATTTTTACCTACGGTGTCTATCTCGAGCAGCCGCTGGAGGTCGTTGATGCTCCGGATGTCGTTGCGGGAGAGCCGCTCCACAAGCTCCCGGGGAATATGAGACTCCTGCTGGAAGGAGAGTGAGAGAGAAGGTCGGTGTTTTATTGAGAGGTAGTCGAGGAGCTACGTAGTTATGCGTTTCTCACAAACATTTTCGTCAATCAAGTTAACCCGGATTCAATTTTGTGTTTCAAAAAAACATGTAAATGTTCATTTTTGTCATTTGAAATGTTTCAAGTACGGTTAAATAATTCAAATGAATTAGAGAATATTAACCTGCCACTTTCGGGTATAGTTACCTCAGCAGCGGCTCGTAAGAGGCAGAGGCAGCCGGCGAGGAGCTGGTAGAGCGCGGGTCTCATCTCCTCTCGGATCCGCTGGGGAGGCTCCGCGAAGGGGCGAGGGTACACTGACGGAGCCCGGGTGTTGCTCCCTGCTCACGGCCGGAGCCCACAACCATGCCTCAGGAGAACAATTAATTCCCAGAAGAATGGAGTTGCTTAGTTCTCCTTTATTCTTGCTCTTAAAAAGAGATGTCGTGAAATCCTTCAGCCGCCCCTGTTTCTCGTTATAATCCACTAAAATCAGTAATCGAAACTTACGCGTTAGTTGGCCCTGCCTGCTCTCTACAGGCAACTGAACTCCAGACGTCTCGGTCGCTGAATGTGGCTGTGCGCGTCCTCGTGGTCAAAAAAATAAACGGGAGCGCGCTCCTTTAAAGCTGGCGACATGAAATCAAGCAGGTTAACTTTGCAGGGTAGACACATTGTGGAAAATTGACATTTTTAATGGCTTATATGCAAAATAGCTGGCTCTACTCTTGTGAGTACCTGTCCACAATCAAAACTGTCAAGATTATCAAACACAAATGAGCTAGTCAGGAGAAACGAAGAAAGCGAGAGAGGTTGATGACGAACGCGTTATGCGCGTGTTATGTCAGTGCTTAATTTAGTTGTGAAACTGGTTAATGAGTGTCACGACGAAATTGCCGTTCGTGACTTAAGACGTTCATATCATCTTTCCCCACTGACATGAACGGAAACACCGTTCATGTCACCGTTCATTGGTTTCAACTCCTCAACCCCACCCCACCCAAAAAACTAACCTATTTTTTATGAGGGAAACAAATTACGATATCGTGTAGTACTCAAGAAAAAACAATCAGAAAATAATACATTCAACTGTAATCTCAAACTGCTTCAAACAACAAAGCGTGTCCCGGAAAAGTGGTTAGGACTGCACGACTGTCGGTGTTTTATGTTATGTGTTGTGTGTATTATTTTACTTTATGTTAACTGTTTTGTTAAGTGCTTTGTTACAGCTGCGCTGTTGTGAAAGCGCTATATAAATCAGCATGTATTGTATTGTATTGTAATTCAAATGCACATCATAATTTAATTTATTGTGTGACTCCTTGCGTGCTTACATTGGCTGCATGGAGGCAGTATAATACACATATGTGCATTAACACAACGAAGACGGTCACAGCTGCTCAGTAGGCTGCAGAAATATTGGGTGTTTTTTTTTACAGAGGATGAATGTGGGTATTGCATCTTACATTTTTCTTGGAGTGGAGCACTGAATCATTGTGGAAATAAATTCATGGAATGCATTATTATAATAATAATAATAATTATTATTATCTTTAATATGTTTTAAAAGCAACCCATAACATCTGGGCACAACTAGTGTGTGTGTGTGTGTGGGGGGGGAGGGGGCAAACACAGAAGGAGTGGTATGGGGAAAGATTACTTCACAGCAAAGTGAAGTTGTGTGTGGGTGAATGTTTATGTGTGTGCATGTGAGAGAGAGAGAGAGAGAGAGAGAGAGAGAGAGAGAGAGAGAGAGAGAGAGATTCCAGGCAATTTTGGACTAAACATTTGTCCAATTAAATCCCATTTATCCTGTCACAAGTGAGGAACCCTCCCAACAGAAACACACGCACACATGCAGTGGTGCAGTGGAGAGGAAGTGGGTCACAACCAATTCAGACCTTGAATGGCAGCACGCTGTCACTTCCTGCGTCCTCACATTGTACGATGCACCTCACTCGTTGCTTCTCTGGACCGACGCGCCTCCCTGCTGTCAAAACGCTCCAAGTGTGACCGCCACACACAGAGAACCACTCATCAGTACAGTACATACAGTCACAGGCCAAAAGTGCTCAGATCCTGCAACAAATTTGCTGTTGAAATAACAATTGGGAATGATAAGTGACAAAGATTAATGTGAGCCATAAAAGGTATTTTAATATGATTTTATTTATTTATAAAATAACCAGAAAGAAGCCTGCTAGCATTTAGACAGGCAAACTAACAAAAACACAAGGCTCTGTTCACTCCCCTTCCACTTCCATCCAGAAAGTTTACTCCTCTTCCTCTTTCCTACTTCCTTCAATTCTATCACCATCCATTCAACAATAGATTGACGTGATAAATTAAATATTGCCCTAAATTACACAGAGGCTGAATCATCTCAACTAAAACGTATGATCCAGGCGACAGCTGTTTGGATAAGTGCCGAGTGTGAAAACAGCGTCTCGTGGGAGGGTTGGAAATTTTGATTCAAGGTGGCCAATTGTGTGTGTCGTTTCACTTGGGAGATTTTAATCTCCTCACGGGGAAATAATTGGGAGTCAGCGAGGGAGTTAATTGTGCTTCCCGCTGACAAAAGTCACCCACCTGATATGATATGAATTTGTCTTTGTCCACACGGACATGCATCACTTTTGGATGGTGTGCTTGTTTACATGAAACCCACTTCCTATTTACACACACACACACACACACACACACACACACACACACACACACACACATCTTACGCAAACACAGGACACACTAATTACTCTTACGCAACACACGTGTGAATGAAAACACCACCCTATTATCAGTCCTTGCAGTTAGTTGTTTCTGACTTAAAGCAAGTTTTATTTTGCTGACATCAAATAAATGTTACCACATTTCTACTCAGTGGTACCTTGAGTTCTTAATTTAATTTCTTCTCTCGGCTGCCTATTGTTCAAAATGCATCTTTAAATCAGTCATTCTAAATTTTGCCAAATTGTGATGCCATAGTGGTTGGCGTTCTGTCCACTGCATGCGCCACATGCACGGATCCACACGCTGGCCACACGCACGGATCCACACGCTGAAGTATAATTCAACAGCTTGGGAATAAAGCGCTTGCCACCATGAATAAGCATACAAAAAGATGCTTTTATTTCAGACTCTAAGAAAGGAATTCATCAAATTCATTGAAATTAGATCACTATGGCAAGGTTCAACTTTTTACGGTTTCACTGCACAACCTTGACATCCAACGAGAAGGCTACAGCTCGACAGGAGCAGATTTATGTCATGTAACATGGCGAAAAGACAAATCTCTCATTTTCAAGCCTTTCTGGTGCTCTTTTTTCCAAAGAGGCCAATTAGTAAAGGTCTCATACCAAGTATTAGCATGCTGGGAACTGGGAGGGCCAGAAAAATCCCTCTCTGTCCTCATCCAAAGGGAGGATTTCTGCCTCATTGTGGCCGCTTTGGGAGCGGAGGATGTGCGGGGCGTCGTTTGGGAGGACTGATGTGGTGCTTTTGGCTCGGAAACAATGCGACGCTGTCTGCTACGAGCTAATGGAGGGAAGCAGTGTTTGCACACACACGCACACACGCAGAAACATGCTCTCACTCGTTTCAATGAGGTGACATCATGGCATCACTGGGACAGCCACTTTCAGATGGGTCGTTCGGTTCAGATTGGGTTTGGCTAGCTGTCAATATGAAATGCATTGTTTTACAAAGGTGAGTGGAGCACAGTGGCAGCGCATATGACCGCTGATATGTTTGAATCTGGGTACCCCTTTCAGTTTTTTTTTTTTGTCTCATCTGTGAGTTTTGTGGGAGCTTCGACAGTCTCGCACAAATCAAAAGATATTCATACATGCAACACACACAAAAAAAAAAAAACCTCTGAAAGAGGGGGTGTAGCTCAGTAGCAGAGCATTTGACTGCAGATCAACAGGCGCCCAGAATATCGTTGAGATGAAACCCTCTGGACTGGCTTTTCTTTTATTGATACATTAAATATATGAAATGGTACTCTAGAAGAGGGCGTGTAACTCAGTGGCAGAGCATTTGACTGCAGATTAAGAGGTCCCCAGTTCAAATCTGGGTGCCCCCTTTTAGCTGCAGTCTCGTTGAAACTTCAGGGCCAGGTTCATTTTTATTGATACATTAAATATATGAAAGGGACTCTAGAAAAGGGGGTGTAGCTCAGTGGCAGAGCATTTGACTGCAGATCAAGCGGTCCCCAGTTCAAATCTGGGCGCCCTCTTTTAGTTGAGTTGAAACTTCGGGGCCAGCTTCACTTTTATTGATACATTAAATATATGAAAGGGACTCTAGAAAAGGGGGTGTAGCTCAGTGGCAGAGCATTTGACTGCAGGTCAAGCGGTCCCCAGTTCAAATCTGGGGGCCGTCTTTTAGTTGAGTTGAAACTTCGGGGCCAGCTTCTCTTTTATTGATACATTAAATATATGAAAGGGGGCTCTAGAAGAGGGCGTGTCGCTCAGTGGCAGAGCATTTGACTGCAGGTCAAGCGGTCCCCAGTTCAAATCTGGGGGCCGTCTTTTAGTTGAGTTGAAACTTCGGGGCCAGCTTCTCTTTTATTGATACATTAAATATATGAAAGGGGGCTCTAGAAGAGGGCGTGTCGCTCAGTGGCAGAGCATTTGACTGCAGGTCAAGCGGTCCCCAGTTCAAATCTGGGGGCCGTCTTTTAGTTGAGTTGAAACTTCGGGGCCAGCTTCTCTTTTATTGATACATTAAATATATGAAAGGGGGCTCTAGAAGAGGGCGTGTCGCTCAGTGGCAGAGCATTTGACTGCAGATCAAGAGGTCCCCAGTTCAATTCTGGGTGCCCCCCTTTCGTTGTTGTTTTATGTCAGTCACGTGTTTTTCCATTCAAAGCTTCATGGAGGGGTTGTCACTGACATAAAACGCCGGTGCCATCTACAGGAGATATAAACTACAAGGTGCTCCAAGTCCCGTGTGATGCCAGACCGCAAAGGGCTTGATTTCCAGATGACGAAAAATATTTTTATTTGACATTCAACATTAATTGCTTCTTAAATATACACTATGAAACAGTAAAAGTTGGGTGTGCCAGTCTAGTTCGTCTTCAGTTTGTCTTTGAAGTTGTTTCAAGCAACTTTTGTGTCCAGCCACTTAACTTGGATCAGCGGCACTATCGATTGACAAAGAATAGGAAGAACTATGTTAGAGGTAAATGTGGGGGGTGGGGGGACACAAGAGTGGAGTGGGCTACTTGTTGGGTTTCAGAGGTCATATCACGCTACGCCTCCACATATTTGCAGATGCTACCTTAAATATAAGTTTTGAAACTCATCTATGTCCCCCCCTTCTTTTTGTGCAGTGTTCTCCACTAATGTGAATGTTTTCTCTTCTCTACTCCTTGTCCGCGAGCGCTTTGGCAAGGGACTGCAGCACCTCCCTCTTGTCGTACAGGTACATCTGCGTCTCCCACAGCATGTCTACTAGAATGGCATCGCTCACTTCATCAAGCATCACCTCCTGGGAAAGCTGCGGGCTCAGTCTGCAGGAGAGGGGAAGCAAATACAGTAACAACAGTGAGTCAAA